AGCCGATGGAGAGAGCCAGGACCTCTTGAATATTAATCTGTATTCTGATTGCAGCAATGACCCTGGCCAGCTCAGTCAATTATATAGTCTACTCCCATTTCCTTGTGTACCATATGGGGTAATCAGAATTATGACACCTGCCACATGCTATGAAGTTAACTGGGATTAACTGCTTTGCTGCTCACAGGAAGTTCCAGGAAGCGAACTACTTCAAAGAAGCACAATCCCTCCCCCCGGTTCTTTGCTACACCAAAGACGCATTCTCCTGATATATCTATTTAAGGTGTGTAGGATACTGCCTTACACATGCCCAGGTCTCATCCCTTCCCTGGCTCTCTCCCCGTTCCACTGGGCTATCCTGAACATCAGGGGAGTGTAGGAAGACATGTCTTTTGCTCTTAGAGAAGCACAATAGCTGCAATATTCTGGCTGCCCTGGACCACTCGGTGCTGGTAGGATGAAGGCTGACATCCACACTACATAGTAATATGGGCGTCTCTGCCCCAACGCTGGCATTGGGATACAGTTGTGATTGGGACAAAAAGTGCCAGAGACACTTGCATACAACCCGTTCTCCCCCAACTCCTTTCCAATATTTAATTCCCGAGTTAGCCTCAATGTATAACTCCAGATGCCAAAAGTGCCATCGCCCTAGACCAGGGGCAGGCAATTATTTTGGGCAGAGGGCCGCTTCCTGAGTTTTGGCAAGCCATCAAGGGCCACATGACAGGCAGCCCAGGGCAGATTAATATTAATTTTCTAATTTTTTAGGGGCCCTGCGGGCTGGATAGAATGGCTTGGCAGGCCACATCTGGCCTGCGGGCTGCATTTTGCCCACCCCTGCCCTAGACACTGTAAATCTATAAGAAGGAAACACAGGCCCATTTTGCAAAGGCTGGGAGCATTCCTGATTACGAACATCCCTTCAGGCTGCATTAGCTTTACATATTTACATACTACTGCAAAGATCTCGTCAGGGGTTTCGGGCTCTAAAGGCTGCTGTGGGAAGAAGCCACCCCGGAGAGAGAGACGTATATACAGGGAAATAAAAAAGCAAGCAAACCAAGGAATCATGCACATCAGCACAAAACGGAGGTCCCCCCCATGGGAATAATTGCTGAATGGGGAGAGAAAGAGAGAGGATGATGGCCTGTTTAAAAGACAGTGACCATGACCATAAGCATGGCTCACCCACCCGCTTCTGCATGCTGCTTCGGTCCTGGAAATACACTGGAAATACATGGGGGAAGCTGCTCCAGGCTTGTCCCCACGGGTTTGTCTCAAGCACTTTGGAGACTGAGATCTCAAGAATGACCACAGAGGGCCACTCTTTGCTGGCATATTTTCAGGTCTTGAGTGTTCATGTGGGCAGCATGTGAAAAGGGCATGTTCCAGTTTGCATACGTGTGTTAGCTTCTACCTCTGATCGAAAGCACAGTTACCTCCTGTAAAAAAGCACTGGGTTTTGCACCTCCATGCTCAAACCAGCCCTTGAGCAGGTCTGCTGGACACACCCAATGGGCCTATATTTTCAAAACTGACCACTGATTTTTGCCTAGGGTTATGAGGCATCTTAACGGGAGTCTGATTTTCAAAGGAGAGCTCCCAAGGCTTCTCAAGGCTTCTTGCATTGAATGCCTAAAATTTAGGAGAACCCCCCCCAATCATTTTAGGTAATTTTTACAACTCTTGGCAACTTTGTCTACTTGTGTAGTCAAATGTGAGCCTCTCTGCACCTGCTGGTAAAGGATGGGAATTTTTCAAGAAGGCATAATGGAAGCAAGTGTTCAAATCCCACTGAATTTAGGTGTTTAACTCCCTTAAACTACACAGAAAATCCCAGTCAAAGCACCTGAGCTGGACCCATGCTATTCCAAAGAATAAAGTGTTGCCACAGGATAGTGGTCTCTTGATGCTAGATTATTGCTGTGATAAAAGATTGATCAAAAAAAAATATAGTGGCAACAGAGCCATTTACTTTCCAAGTGGCAGACAGTCATGGTATCACAACCCCCGAACTCCTGTGACTTACTTCTGCTGCATAAAAAAGATTCATCTCATAGTTCTGGCACTGGGGGATTTTGTATCTGACAGATCAAAGAGAAGAAGAATATCATTTGCCCTCAACTCCATTGTTGAAGAGCCAACATTTTATTGGCTCCCTGGAAAGACTTTATACATGGTTTAGCCAATCAGAATCAAGTTATGTATTAAAAATGAGGTTTTCAAAAGTAGGTGTGTAGTTGTATGATTCATACTTCAGGCCTTAAATATGTAGCATGATTTTCACAGATATTTTATTTTCCACTGGCTTCAGCAAACCCTTTCTTGAGTTGCTGATCACTTATTAACTCCTGAAGTCGTTAAGAGTTGTACGTTCTCACCAGCTCGCTGAGCAGGACGATAAGACTTGTGAGTAGTGCATAAAAATGTTGCATATTTAGTGCATAAAAATTACGAGATGACAGAAAAAAAACTGTCCACTGGAGCTATCTGCCTAATCACCAAAATATTTTGATTTCTCATGGCACTGTCATTTGGCTGCTTCTTGTTACCATTCCTTGCTTTGGTATCTCAAAACGCACCACGGTCGTGGGCTCTCAAGGTGCACCGCTTCCCTTCTCTATGAAAGGAGGGCATCCTGGGAAAGCAATTGTGAACGGGGAGCTGAAGTGATTGAGGAGAATGGCTGCAAAAAGCATCTGAACTACACCCCACATGAGACCCCGAGTTACCATTTCCAGATCAAAATATTTTGGTTATGGTCATAATTTTAGGGGGTTCAGATTTTTACCCAACATTTTAAAATTCCACAAGGGGAAAAAAAAATAAAAATCAAATTCCCCCTCATCCACTGTTTGGAGAAGTTTGGTTAATGTCTTTAGATAATACCCAATTGCTTTGTGCACTTTTCACAATTTTACCCATCAGGAACAATCATTAGAGCCAAAAATCCGGATGCCAGAGAGCACCAGACACCAGAGAGCACCTGCCTTCTTTAATGCTATTGAGATTGATTTTGTGTTTATATAATCACCTTCATTAGTCGGTAAAGATTAAAACCTGCTCTCCCGGGAGTACTAATAGCGAATAACAAGAGTTATGAGTCAAAGCTTGGGTTGTAATGGGAGACTTGATTATAAACAAGCCATTCACTCCTAGTTTTCTTTCCAATGTACACGCTGCATGAGTAATACTAAAATAATCTCATTTTGGTTGCAGGCAATACAGTTACGTGTTGTTCCAGAGAACTCCCTAATTTGCTTTCGACGAGCTGCCTGCTTCCCGATTGTACAAAAGGCAATAAAGTACTAGCTAGGCTGCATTGTGATGCTGAGGGAGAGGTGGTTTTGTAAAGATCCAGGGATTCACATCAGTTCACTCTGCAAGCCAGCTGCCAGCAGCAATCAGAACATGAGACATGGGTCTGGGGTGTCAGGAGCCCCTCTCATCCCTGGTCTTGTCTGAGCCCTTTTATTTAGGAGTGACATGTGAAGAATGATTGTGTTCAGACCCAGCACTGTCATAAAGTGTCACTGCTATGCTCTGTACCTGTGTAAAGTGTGCACAGTGTGGAGGCAAATCAGAATGGCAACACTTAAGGTCCACCTGGATAAATGCATGCAACTTCACAAGATGTCAGGCAATAAGAAATCAAGTGCCGCGTATTTACTGATTGCTACCTGTAGGTTAATAGATATTAACAAAACCCACGTTGGGTCTCATTCTCTAGCACTGTATTATACTGCTTTAGCCATATAAAGAAGCCTTAAAACTAGTGAAAATTGGGACCCATTAAGGCTTTGGGTAAACAGGTTGGGCCTAAAGTTTGTTTCACAGCGCAGGCTTTTGCATTATTCTCAAAAAGTAAAGTGGCCCAAAGTAGCCCAATTGGTCTGAAATCAAGGGTTCACTGCATAACAGGCTCAGAGTCTTAAGAGTAAAGCTGAATGAAACCTCCAGAGGCCATCTAGGCCAACTCAAAGCAGAATCATCCCCATCCAGACTATCCCATACAACAGCTTGCCTCATTCAGTATTAGGTTGTATCACATACCCCACCAACATAGATCCCAGGCTGTGACCTCCCTCGGTGTTTACATCCCAGTATTCCCTTACAACATGCCATATTTTGGAAATTAAGAGCAATGGGATCAAAGCAAAGTTCAGAGTAACATCACAAAAAATTCAGACTAATGATGAAATTGCTCACTCATTATTGGCTTTTGGAAAGTCATGGGGAAAATCCCCAGCTATAACCTCAAAATATTTACACACATCATGAACTCTTTTGGTTTGGCATCCTAGGCTATTCTCATGGTGGTGTTTCCACCAATAACATTGGAGACTATAAGGTTAGTACCATGGTGTGCATTTACATGTTATGTTTACTGGAAAGCTGCCTGATTAGCTCTGCAGTATAGTCTCAGTGTCTACATGTGTGACCCTATTAGGCTGCAGGAAAAGAATCAACTCCACTGTAGGTTAGTACTTGTAAATACCCAGGTCAACATGCTTTGGTCCTGAGTGCATGTGAAACCGCAAAGCCTAGGAGCAATAAATGTGCCGGAGTTTATTAACTTGCATTGCTTTCAAGTTTAGATGTACCCATTGGGGAGGAGATACTTATCCTACAGATACAGAAGACATAACAGTTAGCCGGGCTTCAAAATCTTTGCCTTAGCTAAGGACGGTTGAATAGCTGATGCTGGACTAAATGACCCTTGAGACCTCTTCCAACCCTAAGACTTGGATGATACTTTTTGGTATCTCTGGTTTACTGCACACTATAAATATCATAACATCCAAGGCTTGAAATAAACTCTGGTGTGTCTACACATGCATATTTAATGCACATTAGCCTGATTTAAGGCACATTAAGGATGTGGGTCTACACGTGTGCGCCCTTAATGCGCCTTAAAAATGGCGATTTAAGATTATTCAAGCCTAAATTTGATACCTGCATAAAGCAGGTATCTAATTTACGCGCGACTAGCTAGATCGCTTTAGTGAATGTGTTGTTGCGCTAATGCGCATTTATCATGGTATGTGTCCATTGACTTGGGACTAAGTTTAGTCCAAGTCGATCTGCGCGCACACAATGCACATTAGTGCATATATGTGTAGACACATATCAAAGGACCCCTATACACGTGCAGGGAGCCAGCTCTGATGCACTGGAAATCCAGCGCATTGGAGCAGACTCAATTAACTGAGTCTGCTGGAGTGCAGGAAATAACTTGCTCTGGCAGACTCTAGCATCACATATTTCAGCATCCCTGTGCTGAAAAATGGTGGTGGGGCACTTTGAACTACAGCTCATTCAATGAACTTTAGTTCAAAGCGCCGTACTGCCATTTTTCAGTGTGGGGGATGCTGATACACATGAAGTTTGGGTGATTTTAATTAGCATAGCCCCACGCCTCCTGCAGCATGTGTAAAAATGCCCTAAATCACCTTAATGCATGTTGTTTAGGCACGTGAAAGCATATGTAGACACTAGGGCTGTGCAAAGCTTCGGGTGGTGATTCGATTTGGAAGGGATTCGACTCCATTCGGTGGACAAATCTCTGAATCCAAATTGAATCAGGAGACCAATTAAAAGGTCCAAATTGACTAGAAGCTCTCTAAATCTTCAGAAAAGATTCAGAGAGATTAAATTATTCAGATAGTCCCTGGTGGCTGCAGCTGGACTCGGAGCCGGTAAGTAGGGGACGGGGGAGAATGGACTGGGGGTGGGGGGGAAAGGGGTGGGCTGCGGAGGGATGGACCTGGCTGACTCGGAGATTCAGTCGAATCGATTTGGGACAGTGATTCGAATCACTGCACCATGAATCAGCCAAATCCGAATCCGAAGTGAATACTAGCCGCTTCGCACAGGCCTAGCAGGCGCGCTCGCTGGGTTTTGTCATTAATGTGAGTAAGACTGGGCTGTAAGTCAAAGCTTGGGGAATAGCACAAGTGTGGCAAAGGTGGCCTTGCAGGTTCGAAAGTGGATATCTACAACCAAGCTCCTTTTTAGCATGTTCCAGGGGTGCTGTCAGCCAGCGCACAGTATCTGTACAGCAGTACTGGGTGGAGCAACGTGGATGAAGGTTTTGAGTGGGGTTTGGACTAGATGATGTTTGAGGTCCCTTCCAATTCTAGGACATCTTCTTTTCCCTGTGATCTTGCTAACATAAAATATGTGGACAGGATGAAAACCCAATCTGGATATAAATCTAACTACTGAGTGCAGTCAACACTGTAATGAAAAATATTGATTGGAGTATTTGATTCCAAAGTGTAAAACTACCTGTATATTATTCCCTTGGAATGAAGAAACTGTAGGCCACATATGATTTCAGCAGCATAGAACCTGCAAAATAAAAGCACACGGGTCAGAGCGGAGGTATCCCAACAGTAAGTCTTTGTCTTGTGCCAGCTCCACAGGTACTGTAAACTAACTTCAGGCCCATCAAGTCAAAGAAGCATAGGCAGTATTTTCAAAGCCAACTATGGGTAAGTCTGCAGAGCACAGTGCACGCCTGCACAGGGATTCCCTGAGCTAGGTGTAAATAGGGTAGCTTATATATCAGTGTACCAGGTGCAAGGTAGTGACATGGAGAGATCCCTGACCTGGGCCTGCATGTGCTAGTTCTGAAACTGAAAGCAGAGCTTATCAACCTGGGTGTAGTGCGGTGGTAATGCTGCTATTTTGCTCCTGGTTTTGGAGCTCACATGCATAGAGCTAGCTTGGGACTCCCTGCATGGCACTGTACTCATAGGTCCTTACCTGGCACCTTAAGAAGACCATTCTCAAAATTTTTTAGACCTTGTTCCAACACATTTTTGTATTTAGATTAAAAAATCCTCCCGGTCCAAAGCACCGACACACAAATGCACCACTGCAAAATGGAGCTTCTTTGCCGAGGGGTGAATTCAACCAGAGGACCCTGTCTCCAGAGGGATACACAGCATCCTTTCACCAGATCGCCAACATGCTGCTCTTGAGTCTCAGTTCTCAATGTTCACATTTTTTTTTTTAACTCCAACAAATTAAACATTTGTTTAATTCCTTTTACTTAAATAAAAATGAATTCCTAAGGCCAATTCAATATTGACTTTTAAAATAGCTCTTGTTGGCACAGGGACTTAGAGAAACTTTCCTTTATTCTAATTCCCCCATTGATTCTAATCGCAGCTAAATGCATTTCTAATTCTCACTAGGTATATTTACTTTTTATTTAAATTTGCCTTTCTCGCATTTGCTAGGATCAGATTTGCCTTTGTTTTGGGGGCTCAGTGAGGAAAATGAGATGCCTATGGCTTTCTTCAAACAATATTATTGCCCTGTGCGTGTCCTCCCAGGGTCTTAGTGTAAAGGAGCTTGGCTATCATGTACACAAGCATGTTAGAGCTAGAGCACTTTAACTGGAGTATGGCTGAGTCTCCTCCAAAGAGACTTCTTTTGCAGCCTGGTATCTAAGGATCTGTCTCCAAGGATATGTCCACATGGCACAATGTAGCACAGGATAGCGATACCAGGGCTACCTTGGGTATCGTCACCTTGCCTTGGCCTATCTACCTCTCTCGGGACAGCAAATTAGCCTTGGTAATAAAACCCTTTGGTTTTATATAGCATTCTACATCCGTAACGCTCACAGAGCTAAATCCTTTTTTAATTTACACGTGTAGCTATGTAGTCATGTCACTGCAGGTTACACCATACAATTTCATGGCATTTACTGAGCAGAAAGAATGATTTTCCCATGCCTTTTTTGGTTGAGAATATGCAAACCATTAATGTGGTAAGCATGCATGTCATTTAGACTGGCTGCTTGTTTCCTTTGTTATCCCAGCAAACTCATGATATTCAAGAATCAAGTTTGGGATACCAGTTTTTCCCGTGGTGAAATGGAATTGCCTTGTGCATGTGCCTGTCTGAAATAAAAACCTTCCCACCCTACAGCCTAATGGCAGGAGACCCTCGTTTTAGGTCCTTGGTTTCATATTCACTGGATAAAATGCAAGGAGAGCAGTAGGAACGTTTCTGTCCCATTGGGCTCTTTCCTTCCAGGGCAGCAGCCACATCACTGAGCCACAAGACCTTGTATTTTATTCTCTTCCTCTTGGCCCCACATTTCTTGAATGCCCAGTGAGCCAGCTTCTGGAGGAGAGCTAGAGCGAGTTCTGGGTAAAGCCTCAATTGGGATATGATGGTTAGAGCGCTTCATTGGGAAGCCTGTATAGGGGGGCCTAGCACCTAGATCTACTCCACCCTGGAAAAGTGCCCCAGCTACTAAGCTACTGGGCTCAAGACATGTCAGCACTTTCCTCTTCTGGTGTCCACTGCACACCAATCATGGAAAAAAACTGGCTAACCAAAAATCTGGGCTTGGCCTGGCTTTACATGCATATGTAAGCCACATGCCTATTTCCTCGGTAGCCCAGTCAGGCAACGCTGAATCTTCAACGGTGTGTCAGAGCCTAGATCTGCAGTTGTACAACTCCCAGTGCACCATGTAGGCAAGTAAAGTGAAACTGGCTTTTGCCCTCAGGGCTTTACAAAGAAAGGCCGTATATCCTCATCCCCCTATTAGAGAGAAGGAAGCTGAAACTCGGGGAAGGAAAGTGTTTGGATTTTTTTCAAAGAGGAAAGACCAGTAGCAAGGAGAGGAATACATCCCACATCCTCTGAGACTCAAGATTTCTATAGGAAGGTTAAATGACCCCGATCTTCCCATATGCATGTGACCATAAACAGAGGCACTGTCATTCTCTTACGTTGCTCTTGGGAGGTCAAACTTGTGACAGCTTTGGATGTGGAACATGAGGTCTCCTCCGTTCAGGTACTCCATTACAAAGAAGAGGTTTTCCTGGAAAATGATAAAGGACTAGCATTAGGAATGGGGAGGAAAAATGATCCAAAAGGAAAAGTAACAACAGAAAAGAAAAGAAAGCAGGAGATGGCACGAGGTTAGTTGTTTTGAAGAAAATTCTTCCATGTTCTTCACCTTTTGTCTTGACCTCAGCCTTGACTCTAACTGCCTTGATTTACATGGTTAATAGTAGTTCAACACATAATCAGAGGAAAATCTACTTCTTTATATAGTCTTTTTCATCATGAGGTCTCAAAGTATTTTAAATGAGATTAGCTTCCTTTTTTTTCTATTGTATATATGTGGAAACTAAGACACGGAGAGGTAAAATGACTTTCAAAAGGCTTTGCAGCAGGCTAGAGCAGGAAACAGAGACCCAAATCTCCCGAGTGCCAGTGCACTGGACCTGGACAGTCTTGTGGGCACTTGTGCATGTTATTTCATCTGTGTCCAACACAAAAGACTGCCTGGTACTGCAAGGAGCTAAATGCAATGATGCCAATCAAGCAAAACACTTAGGCAGGTGCTTTATTTTATGCATATGAGCATTCCCATCGATGCAGCCATATTTAGGCCACTATAGGGAAGACATTATTATTATGATAATTATTATAATGATGATGACAATGATGATTAGTATACACCCAAACTGGTCACACTTCAGGGGGCCCACTGCTCAAATCCTGCCATTGAACCCCACAGGAAGAGAACAAAATCATCTGATACAAAGTTTGACACTTCCCACCACATCATGGCCTACTAATATGACGAAGGGTCCTGCAGTTACCAGGATGTATCTGCAACTAAAAACTAGGAAATTAATATTAGGTCCTAGCAGTAGCAGATCTGAGAATGGGGAAAGGAGGATGCGTCTCCTCCCCTCCCCACTTTGGCTGTATGGTACATGCAGCGAACCCCGAGCTCACTAGTGGATCAGGTCAGGGTCTGGTGGGAGCCCCTGCATTCACGTGGCTCTGGAGCCCAGAGGCGATTGCTGCTGCTGCTTGCCTTTCCTCTCCTTCCCCCTCCCCACTCACCCCTGGGCTCTGGTACTGTGTGAAAGCAGGGGATCCACCCAGACCCCGGGCAGAGAGCTCACATACAGCACAGACAAATGGGGTGCCACAGTCTTTCTGCATCTGCCCACGGGGCCTGGGTGCATGAAATAATTACCAGGAGAGTAAAGCGGGCAGGGATTTACTGGGCATCAGCTGCCCTGAGATCCCAAAATACATAATAGTTAATCCATGGCAACTCACCCCTCTTTCCCGAAGGACTAACTATCATGGTTGAACTTGCATGCATTGCAAAGGGAGCGTCTGCACGTGAGCAACTACCATGAAGCTCTTGTCATGCCGCAAAGCCCCACCTCCTCTTACTGCCCATATTTTTTTAGAGATCCTCTTCACCGCTAGCATGTGTCAAGGTATGACTGCAGCTCATGCAGATGGACCCAAGCCGGCTTTAAACTCACCAGATCTGGGAGCCACGTCATTACCTAAAAGCTGGGTAAATCACATTGACCCAGGCAGCTACCCACTGAACTCTGTGCAACCACCACTATGCTTCTATCCATGTGGATAATAATTTGTGGTTGTGGGACAGGGTTACTTGTGTAGTTCTAGTAATAGGTTCAACAAGGATTTGCTTGGGATGGTTTGGATAAGGATGATCCTGTGTCAGATAGGATCTCCAGAGGTCCCTGTCAGCCCCGCTTTTCTACGATACCACGGCGGAGCTGGCACATCTAAATCCAGCTTGGCTACATCCAGAATTGAGCTGCAGCATGTCCATCCCTTTAGACATGAGTTTGACTCACAAACACGCTGTGCTCTCGGCATCTCCCATATATATCAGAATCCGTGTACAGTAATTTATAGGACGGTGGCACATGAAGCCCTCCATTATGATCAAGGCCCAGTCTGTGCTAGGTTCAGAGATGAGAAACACTGTGACCTGCACAGGTTACTATCTAAATAGACAAAAGGGAGGAGGGGAAATGCAGGTGCACTGATTTATCCGGCGGCACTATTGGTGGCGCAGCCAGGAGTATGGCACAGATCTCCGAGTGTGCAGCACTTTTGAAGGTTATGCTTGCTGAAAATCAGGAAGGTACCTAAGGGATAGGAGTTTTCAGAGGAACTTAAGTGACACAGAAGCACAAATCCCATTGAAAAATGAGTGGTATTTTGGCTCCTCAATCACCTAGGTGCTTTTTAAAATAACACCCTAACAGCTTGTCTATGTAGGAAGCTTGAGATTAGACAAAGTGTAAATGCAATGCTGCGTTCCCGAATAATTCTGCGTGCAGATCCACTTCTTTGGGAGTGCGAGTGTTTTCTGCTTTAGTTTGATCTGCTTCCAAACAAGATTGAGTTAATTTTGAGAGAGATGAATTCTTATTCCAAGATAAGAGTGTCCACGTGTGGAGGAGTATGATATGCTTGGGCTTCTATATTTAAAAATCTCAGCTCCACACATCAAGCTGTGCATAAAGCAAATGGCACGCAGAATTCTTCAGTGGAAACATCCCTCCATTCTTTACGTCCCTCAGATTATTCATCTCCTGGGTACACAAGAGTTTAGGAATTATCTTCCCTCTGTCTCGGTTACTGCCCATAATAATTTTGTTGGAGAAGATGCTCCTTTAATTTGGGTTTTGTTTTTCATAGTTTTCAATGGCTAAAGCTTTTTTACCCAGACCCTTTTAATACAAGCCTCTCTGGCAGCTGGCCAAGAGCTGATGAGAAAAAAAAAATGGTGTTTATTCTTTTCAAATAACAGCTGTTCTGCACTAATTTGTGCAATTTGTATAGCCAGATCCTTTTAATTACAGCGCTCTTATTTAATTGAAAATCTGGCTGGAAACCACACCTGTCATCTTGACAAGCACTGGGCCAGATCCTGCGCTCTGTGAAGTTCATAAAACTTCTGCTGCTGATGCCGAGTGACCGAAGCAGTGAGTCCTAAGTGCCTGAGCCTGGTGGTGCTTACCCTCTGAACGTCTGTACGGTCTGTGCTTCTGAACCGCCTGCCTAAATACATGGCGTTGGCTCCTGCAGTCCTAATTCAGACAAGAATTCCTACTGCAACATGGGAGCTGGGAGCTTGGCTTAGGCAAGATCTGTGAGACGATTATACGAGCTATAGCAACCACTTAGATGTACTGTGTTTGGCAAATCTAAGCATCATATGTAGCACCACCCTGAGGAGTCCATTCTGGGATCCCTATAGCTTCCTATGGGCGAGCAATCGCAGTAGCATCAAGAACATGGCATGGCCCACAGAGAGGGGTTACTTAAGATGACCCCCTAAGATGAGCAGCTGGATGACATCAAGCAAAGGAAAATACAACTGATGATCTGAGAGAGCTTCCTAAGCGAGGTCCACCAAGCTGTAGACCAGCCTCAAAAGGGAAGTGGAGTAAACCCGGGCACTTGAATCCTTTTAAAATGCGACTGGTTGCCTTGGTCCAAGTGGTGAATATTTAAATGGAGAATCGTGCTTTCAGGGCTCCTGGCTCTGACACGAGCCTCCTCTCGTGGCCTGGGAGGGCTGGTTGACTTCCCCCAAAGTCTCAACCGATGTGAGGGTCTCGGGGATAGCCGGTGGCTCCCGTCATACTTGATGGAAGTTAAAGGACCTGTTGGGAGGTGAAGCTGACAGTAGTACATGCAGAGCTAGAAGAAGAATAACTACATTATAATGCTCTGGTAAAAAGCAAATAAAGGAGCAGTGCTACCTACACTGAGCCATGCCAGGAAGCACCAGGCTTCATTTCGAGGGCCAGTAATCTGCTGCTGGCCTCTATCAGCAGGGAAATGGCTCCTCCACCTCGATAGCTTCTTTGTCCAAGTAGTATTGGGTGTGAGCTAGATGCATGTGGTCTGGACAGGGAGTAAGCCATCAGACACCCCTGCTTACTCCTATGTCCCCTGACCTGGATTATTCAAGTAGGATTACAAAGCAATTCTTTCTCCTTCCCTTTGGCATGCCCTCAAAATCGAGTCCAATGTTTGCAGTGTCCTAGGAACGTGGAAACTGGGAACCTTTCAAGCCTGCACATCCCCCTGTTTACTGCCGTTTATTTTCCAGTAGCTTTTTCCCATTCCCAGCATAGGGAATACCCCAATTACCCCCAATCCCCTAATTACCCCAATGCAGTCAGTCATTTTTAACCGGGCCCACTATTACTATCCCAGGACAGAGAACTGTGCCACTCGGTACTAGACGTCATTTGCGACATATTGAGCCTTAAGGACCTCAGCACTGAGAAGACAGATAACATTCATCATAGTTTCATAGTACCTAGGGTCAGGAGGGACCTGAACAGGTCATCTAGCCTGACCCCCTGCCACAGGCAGGAATGAATGCTGGGTTCACAAGGAATGAATGCTGGGTTCACAAGACCCCAGACAGGTGATCGTCCAACCTCCTCTTGAATATGCCCAAGGTAGGGGCGAGGACCACCTCCCTGAGTAGTTGGTTCCAGATTTTGGCCACACTAACTGTAAAATATTGCCTTCTGATCTCCAACCTAAACCTGTTCTCCATCACACACAGGACATAATGGCAAACGTCACACACAGGACATAATGGCAAACATGTATTCATTCGCATGTTGGCTTTCTATTTGGGTTTGATCTTGTGAAGTGCTGCGGGACTGATTTCAGCAGGCGCCAGGGGCACGCGGGACCTGGCACAATCGACCCCAAATGCTTTGAGCAGCATGACACCAACTCTGTGGTGCCACATGCTACTCTGCCCACCTTCTCTGGGGACGGCAGACAAGGAGTTAAGCCAACCTGCTCCTGTTTTGCATGCAACTGCAGTGAGAATGAATAGTTGCTATCAGCGAGGCTTCTGCCTTTACAAACAGTAAGTATAAAGCAGGGTAGCATTTAAATGGGCCTCTTGAAGGTGCATCCTAGCTAATAGGCTCTTAAATCCTGTAACCAGCTGGAAACACTCCAAAGTACTTTCCATGGGTTCATTTT